ACCTGTTTCGTATCCCCAGAAGAAAGCCAGAGGTCAACTTCGCCTCTGGCCAGAGCGTCGCTCATGCCAGCTACCCACACCCCCGGTGATGACTCGCAGGTATCTGGCGACAGTGAGACTTTCGTTCCAGCCTATTTCGTATCGCCAGAACAAAACCAGAGCTCGATCCTGTTTCGGGCAACCCCACTTCGACAGCAACGGCCGAACGACTCCGAGCGGAAAGAAAAAAGGAGCGAATGTGCATTTCCTTGTGCTTTTTCATGTGAATGTGGAATGCAGCTGTCTTGTGCTGTGCGCTTTCGTTTCTTTCTTGCACGCGCGACACACTGTACACCAAGACGCAGTAAACCAGAAACAGACAAACAGTTACAAACAAAGCGTGCCAGAACAGAGGTTTGCGCGGGGCCTGGGACATGGGGCATCCCTGCTGTCTTGTGAACGTGGAATCCAGCTGTCTTGCGATATGCGCCGTCATGTTTCTGTTGCCAAGCTGAAATTCTCGGCTGCCGAGGGGCCCGAAACCCTGTAAAGGGATATGTTGGCCACAAAGAGCACATCTGGGGCCCATATTGATCCTATGTTGAGCACGTTAGCCCTAGGTTGGGCCTATGTTGGGCCTATGTTGGCGTCTGTTGGCCCCTAGTTGGCCTATGTTGGCCCTATGTTGAGCCATCTTGGAGGCTATGTTGGGCATATGTTGGGGATATGTTGGCTATCTTGGGCCTATGTTGGGCCTATGTTGGCGTCTGTTGGCCCCAAGTTGGCCTATGTTGGCCCTATGTTGAGCCATCTTGGAGGCTATGTGGGGCATATGTCGGGGATCTGTTGGCTATCTTGGGCCTATGTTGCGGATATGTGAGGCGATTTTTGTTGAAAAAATCTTCCGATACAACTTTTGGCGATTTTTTCCTTCCCGCAAAGCAAAAACCATGAAAAAACCTAGGTTTTTTGACATCGCCCAGATGAAATTCTCGGCCGCCGAGAGCCCCCAACCCCTGTAAAACACAGTGTTTTTTATACCTCGCCCACACGAAACCCTGTAAATTACGTTGATATCAGTGACCCGGTGGTCCCCCCGTTTTGGGACCGAGGGTCGGCGGCAGGGGGCGCGCCCGTTTATAACCTTCGGTTACCACCGAAGGCCCTCCGGGCAGGGCACGGGCTTCGTGGCCGGCGCCCGGATTTTTGGACCTTTGGATTCATGGTTTAGTTTTTTGATTTGCAGTTTGCAACCATTGTTGCATCTATTTTTGGACTCCACATTGTCAAGGGGTCCAAAAATGGTTCTGCGCAATAAACTATACAGCGTGTATGGTTGAGGCAAGACTTAGAGATGAACGCAGCATGAAGTGGATGAAGGGGTAAGATCTATACTGTATTCGTTCTAGGTTTTAAAATTGTTCAGGCATGTCTTTCTCGCAGCTTGCTGCAAGCATCGTTGGGTGTATCCTTTTTGATCGAAAGGGCAAAGGTCGAGGCAAAAGTGCCGGGCGCAAATCGAAGGACCAGGCTCGCAATGCGATTTGTTTTTTGGGGTCTCGGGAATGGGGCGTTGCAGGAAACTTTTTGCGGCGCTGAACCTTGGGCTCATAACCTAAGGAAACACAAAAATCGGAACTGCAGCGTTGTTCCGTTTCTTGAGCCAACGAGTCGAGCGCGCTTCTCAATTTGCGCGTGTTCAAGTGAAACATGCGATCGGTGTCGATCAACGTTCATCCACAGCAACAAATATGACAGAGACACCGCTGCGTAAGTGTGGTCGGCGGCGCTGGGAGGATAAAGGAAGAAAGGAGGAAAAAAGGAAGGAGCAGGCAGGAAAAGGAAATCAAGAGTCAATAGCGACCAAAAATTCGGAATCCGATAGAAAGAATAGTGGGGGACGAGCCCCAAAAGGCAGCCTGCCCTATGCAGGCCGACGGCCTGTTGGCAGGGCTCCGCTGGAGGTTTCACCGGGGCTGGGACGCTGACGCTGTCTAACGTTGCCTTCAGAATCCGACAGAAAGAGGCCACGCCCAACGTTGCCTCCCACAAAGTTCTTGGACGAGCCCCAGGTGCCAGGTACCTGCACAAAGCAGCGCGCGGCCTGTTGAGTGAGTCTGGCCTGCCGGATCCTCTGGAGGCCACGTGCTGCCAGTGTGGGCCCCAGGAGTCCACAGGCAACCGCTTCTCTGCGCTGTCCCACCCTAGGCGTCAGCTGGGCAGGGGCCGGCGAATTTCTGCAGCCGCAAAGCAGGCGTTGCAGCGTGGAGCAGTTTGAGTGAGTGGGTATTGTGACATTTGCGTGGGTTTTGGCCCGAAGCATGTCCATTGCATCAAGAATTATGGAGTAAGTTGAAGGGTGGCGAAGACCAGGCAGAAGTTTGCTACAGGAAGAAAGCACAGGGTTGGCCAGGGATAACAATGACCTTCGCGGGGAGCGCTTTGATTGATTGAGCAGTGAGCTTGTGCCCATGCCAGAGGACTGTTGCTATTTGCAATTGCCGCATGTCGCCAATCAAGTCGAGCTAATTTGGGTTTGCAAAGCTGGCGCTGATCTGTGATTCTAGGAAGATGCACTGGCCCAGGCGCAGGCCTGTGCTGCCTCACAGTTGGTTTTCGAATTACCCCCGCAACCACATATTTATTGGCCGGGTATTTTCCTTGCTGATGAGTTCACAACATGTGTTCTTGGGGCTACTGCGAAGCAAATTTGTTAGCGCGTTGGTTTCTCAGCCATTCTCGATATTTGCGCCACCATAGTACTTTGTGAGGGGCGCATAGCGTACCTTGAGAACGAGATCAAGAGTTTGCGCGCTGTGAGAGACTTAGCAACTTAGCAGTTGTATTGAGCGCAGCATGACGACTTGCCATGGATGGGCAATGGATGGGGTGACGCGGTGCAGTGACTTGTGACGTGGTGAGGTGGATGGTGGGGATCATGGTGTGGTGAAGCCTGATGGCCTAATTCGATCGCACGGTGTGAGGTGATTTGTGATCTAGTGAAATGCAGTACTGTGGCGAAGTGTCATTAGGTGATTTGTGGTGTGGTGAAGCGTAGCGTGGTGATGCGTGATGTCGTGAAGTTTAATGTGGCGAAGTGGCCTTCCTTCGATCTCTCGAAGCGGGCGCAAAACTGGTCGTTTGTTGGGCCGCCAGCGCCGCCTGCGTGCGTGTTCCTTCGCAACCCTTGTCAAGTCATGGGCCGGTGTCAAGAGCCAATTCAGTAGCGTCGCAATGGCTGTGTCAAAGGTTCGCCTTCATTGGGTTTGGAACCTTTCTGAGAGGTGGCGTTGCTGAAGCTTGGGATGGTTTTTTCACCGACATTTCGGACACTTCTATTCCAAGCCGTGATCACTTTGATTCGCAAAGCCGATGAGTGATAAACCGGTTAGTTGAAGAGCTGTATGTGCAATGCTGTTTCCAACTTTCTGCAACTGGGATCGCTCCACTTTTGTTTCGGCGAAGGAAGAGGGCTTCAATTTGTTGGCTTAGGCCTTGCCAGCTACAACGTCGGTGGCTCCCAAAATTGTGATTGGCAGTCACCAGGTTGATCAACGAACATATGAGGACCATGCATATGCAGTGAGTATGATTGGGTTGTACTCCTGAAGTTGACAACGCAGGAGACAATTCTGTTAGCAGTGTTGGTCTTCATGCTGGGGTTGTGCCTGATCCCATTCTTGAGGCGCGACATGATGTTTGAGTTTGTAAGCGTGAGTTTGGCTCAAATTGCTGCAGGCCTTTCAGATATTGCTGTGAAACGAGACTGCACAAGGCAGGAAGGTGACAAGAGCTTCAAGTGGTTGGTTCATGATCAGATATTTGAGATATGTTGTTTCGTTTTGCAGCGAATATGCGCTTCTGAGAAGCAATAATAGCATTATATACTGTGTGTATATATATACATATGCAAACTGATCCTTTTATCAAAAACGGCTACAGTTATGTCAACTGTACACTCACTAAAACGCTGCACACCTAGGTTGCGGTCTACTCTGAAAATGCTTCACACTCCTTCGTGGTAGTGTGAGCGCTCGAACTACTATTCTAGCTCACTCTGCCTGCCAACATAGTTCATTCTGTTTTTCATCATCCTTATGTTGTGTTGTCCACTCTCTCAAGAACAGGGTTCCTGGAGCTTTCTGACGGCATCCTATCTGATTTCGTCTCTCTTCTGCAATTTCAAGCGCTCATGTCTTCTGTCCAGTTGACCAATTTTCAACTCAAGTCTACCACACATTCGTATTGTCTGTTCTCTCACAAATTCTGCCCTCGTAGATAGTTCCCTATTTCTTTGTCCAAAGCTCCTTGTCAATGGTCCATCTGAAGAGCTTTCTCCTTGATTGTCTGCTTCATTGTCATTCTGTTGATCTCATGTCTTCCAAGCTAAGAAGTTTGCTGCGTTGATTTCTCCTATCATGCCCCATCATGTCATAGCTGATTATAGTTTGGGTGTTTGGTGTTTCTCTCTCTACAACGCCTCCATTGAGAAACGGATGGTCGTTTTTTCGGATTTTTCAGTTTTTGCTTCTTTTTTCGGATTCTGCTTTTGCTGCTTTTCTGCTTTTGTTGCTTTTCTGCTTTTGCTGTCTTTTTGCGTTTGTTGCTCTTCTGCTTTTTGCTGCTTTTCTGTTCTGCTGCTTTTTTGTTTTTGTTGTTTTTCTGCTTTGGCAGCTCCTTTCTTTTGTTTTTGCTTTTCCATTTGTTTGCTTTGCAAAGAAGAAACCACGCAAACAAGCAAGCAAGCAAGCAAGCAAGCGCCTTTGGATCTGGCCCCTCCCCGCGCCACGAAATCTGCACTTCATCTCCGACACCCGCGCCTGCCACGAAATCAATATTTTAAGTAAGCTCCCCGGCGCAAAAAATTCTAACTAACAAAATATGCCTCCTGCGCTGGTTCTCTTTTTCTTTGCTGTTGCTACACTATTCCAATGTATCTTGCCAGCCACGACAGATCCCAAATTAGCTCTATCCAAATGTTTTTGAAAAGTTCGCGAAAAACTAAAAACCCAAAATTAAAAGTGCACCCTTGAGAAACAATCCGCAATGGACTCTCCTGACATCGTTTCTAATTAGGTCAATCTCATGTTCATCTCCCAACTTCTCTGATCATGTCCTCAAGCTCCACCATTCTGAATTCTGCTTCATCCACTCTGTCTTTAAGACTTTCCATCGCACACTTCAAGAGGTTTTCAGTATGCTTGTAGAGCTTCCATAGTACAAAGGTCACTGCTGCAAAACCAATGATAACAATTGTAAGAATCACAATGATCAGGAGTTTCCCGTTTTCATTGAATTCTTTTTCCTCCTTCTAATCCACACTGGATGTTCCCTTTCTCTCTGATGAACGCTTCCGTAACCATTGGCTGCAAGCTCTCAAACGCCCTTCAAACACCTTTCTCTCATGTTCTCCTACTCTTTTTTGCTCCAATGCCCAATGAGGTTCAT